CTGAAGTCTTGATGCTTCTTTTCACTGATTATCAATGCAATTACTCAAGTGTAGACTTAAGCAACATCAGACCTGTTAGCTGCACTCACAGCATTATTAAATAGCAAGCAGGGTGGGGACCCTGGAAATCATTTAGCGCCACCCTTTCAGCACCTCTCCCCTCCCACCATTCCAGTACAGGGAGGAGCAGGGTTCCAGGCTTCCTACTAACTTCTGACAGTGTATTTGGTTTAATCAGCCCACAGCAGGACCCCACTGGCTTCACACCTCTCTCTCCTCCCATCTCCCTCCCCCTTCCTGACTTCATCTGGTTAGGATGATGGAGCTGCCTGTTTCCCAAACAGGCAGGGTGGGGGTTGGGGGACTCAAGCCTTGTTTGTCATCAAGGTTCTGTGACACAAGCCCAGTGTGGACACTCTTCCCTTGGTGATTCACTGTCAAATCTGCATTCTGCTTTCCTGCCTGGGAAGGGTATGATATCAGACTCATCTGGTTAAAGAAAAAAAATCTGCTTACCGGCTCATTTCTTTAGCTAGGCACTCTACAGTCGTCTAAGTTCACATGGGCCTCACCACTAGGTGAGAGAGGCCCCGAAGACAACTGCTCTGGCCTGAATGACATTCTGGAGGAAACAAAACTTGCCTTTGTTCCAGCAACCCCTCCCTCCGTGTCTGTGCCTCACCTCAGATCCCCATCCCCAGTCTTTCCCAGAGCTCTCCCAGCAGACAGAAAAGTCCTGGCAAATGGACTGTTTTTCACATTCTTTGGGGATTCAACATGCCTCTGTTTGTAAAGAGAGCTAACAAGGGGCAGTGCTTAATCCAAAGACCTGAGTGGACAACTCTCAGACCTCAGGTTTCTCTCAGGCTGTTGGGCAAACAGGTTCTTGCTTCTAAGTCTTTTGCCACAGGCTGCACCCACTTCATTCATACCTGAAGGGCTAGAGTAGGGGTGGGGGAGCCAACATTCACTGAGCCCTACAGCATGCCCAGCACTATGGCAAGAGCTTTCTATGGGTTTCCGATGTATTTTTCACAGCATTGCGCACTGTGCATCATCATCCCAATTTTAACACAAAATAACAGATTTCTAGAAGTTAAATCATTGACAGAAAAGGCCAAGTCAGGATTCGAACTCAGAGCTGCAGAGCACAATGTTACCTCCTAAGGCTTTATCACCATAAGATTAGGACCTGAACATTTTCAAAGAAAAACAAAACAACTGACTCCTAAATTGGTGCCCTCTGAGATTCAACTCATAGGTTAATACAAATGTCTTTGTATACAGTAAACATCACTGAGTTCCTTTGCTCTAGGCATCTGAGATCCTATTAGGTTAGACAAGAAAAATCTCCTCCAATTCACCTGGTCTGATTCTCCTGGTCTGTCTCCTCTCCCTTACCCTTTTGGAAATGCTTCCTGATGCAAAGGTAAGCAAGAAGACCCAGAAGGGGGGTTCTCAAAGTGTGATCCTGGACCTACCACATCCACATCTCCTGAGGACTTGCTTGGAACACGTCTTCCTGGGCCCTACTGGAATCAGAAATATGAATCAGAAATGCTGAGGGTGGGACCCACAATCTGTATTCAAATACAGAAATCAAGTCCTCTGCATGATTTCTGACATGTGAAAACCTGAGAACCACTGACCTAGAAAATGTCATTGGCGTAAATCCTTGGCTCTACCCCCACAACCAAGCCATTGCTAAGCTCATTGAATTCTGCCCATACCTCCTGGTTAGTCTTGTTTTTGTCCTCATTCAGGCTCTGTTATTTCTTCTGGATTGTGACACTGGCATCCAAGTAAACTCCTTGCCTCTCATCCCTCACTATCTTTCTGCTCACGTCATCCTGGACACCACAACACCCTTCTGCTCAGATGATGTCATATGCCTATTGTAATAAAATTCAATTCCTTACCTTGATATTCAAGATCCTCCAAAATATTTATCTAACATTCATTTTCAATCATATAGCCTATTTGTCCCTCTATGCAGCCCATAATCTAGTCTTTCAAAAGGACTCACTTGTTTGCTACAGATTCATACTTTCTTACCGGTATGCATTTGCTTATACATTTCCCTCTGCCTGGAATTGCAACCCACTCATTCCCCTAGAGCTGCTAAGGTTCAGCTCAGAGGTCATATCCTCTATGAAGTCTTCCTTCATTCTTCTAACTACTTCCTTCTGTTCTCGAGCTCTCATAGAATTGAACTTCACTTCTCTTATATACTGGTTAAATGATACTCTGGGCTTTTCTTGTGAACAAGTTGTATCTATTAGGTAGTAAGAGAATAGAACTGTGCCTTTTTTTTTTCATTTTTTAATGTCCTAAAGCATCCAGCATAGTAGCAGTGCTTAATACATGGTTGTTGAATGAGTGAGTGAATGTTGGATCCACAAAATAAAATTGAAATATTTCCATCTGTTATTTTTCTAAAAATGCCTATTAAAATCAGTGATATTATTAGGCTATTTTTCAAATACAGTAGTATCCATTTTATCACCTCCCCGAACCAGGCCTGTTAGAAAGCACAGATTATAACAAAGTTATCAGGGAAAACAGTAAGGGTAGAACCAGATTGTTCCCATCATATCTGTGGCTTGAGTAACAATATAGGAGAATAAAAGTACAAGTTTTGTTGCTAGCTTTCACCTTGAACAGCACAATCAAGAGCCAAGTTCTAGCAGTTTCTTGTGCTAAGCAAAATAAGGATAAAGCACAAATAACTCTCAAGGAAATGTTTGTGGAACTCTGGAAGTTCCCAGTTCTGGCCTGGCTTGATTCCAAAGTAGGGAAAGAGATCTTGTGTTCAGAAAAATAGAACTGCACGGCCCTTCTCTGCTCCATCTTGATGTCCTGCCCTTGAAGGTCTTCCTCCACAAGGCGGGGGGGCGGGGAGATGACAGGGCCTTTTTTTGAGGCCGCAGCCATGGAGCAGCAGCAGCAGTGTGCTGAGCACTTGGCAGAAAAGCTCACCCTGGGTCTCCGGGTTTACTTTTTAGTGGAACAGTCTGTAGCTGTGGAGAAGCAGAAATGTCTGGCATTATGGGTTCAGGGCTATGACAGGTTTTTAATTTTCCTGGAAATCCAAGTCTTAGAAATGCGATCTCTCCTCTCACAGGCTCTGGGCTCTGAGTTCCGTGTAGTACCAGACTTGCATCTTCTCTCTGACTCGACAATTATCTTTTCTTGGTAAAGATTAATTTTTCTAATGCCCCTCCTTTCAAGAAAGTAGTCAGTCCTTTCCCTGGCTTCCACATATTCAAAAGGGAGAGTTAGGGAGATGGAACTAGCCCAACATCCCAGAGTCCTGGGATGGCTGGTGTGGCTCGGCTAAAGGACAGCAGCCCTTGTCCTCCGCCTCTAAGCAGACAAAGCTGCGGCATGCACAGGCCGCTTGGCTGCTGTCTCAGCCTTTCTATCATGTGTGGTGATTTCAGTCTGTCATGTTTGCTCTGCTTTCTGCCACAGGAAGGTTCTCATAAGAAGCATGAATAGCCTTGAAAATAGTCATTTTGTGTCTAACTGTAAAAATCTCTTCTTCCAATGTTTTGAGGTGCCTGGATGCATCTCCTTAGCAGAACGCTCCGTAGCTGCATTGATAAGTGGACATTCCCTTTGGAGCTGGTGTCACTGCGAGGCAGCCTCCGGCACTGTCAGAACATGCTGTTGGTGAGGGATGAATATTTAATGACACACAAAAAAATGCTCATCATATATTAAGTATAAGATACAGGCTCCAAAGTAAAGGGAATTATGCATATACTCACACACAAATAATGTGTCAAAAAGAATTGATATTAAGTATTGACACTAGTTATCTCTAGTAAGTGGGTGGATTTTTCTCTTTCCTCTTGTTTATCCTCCTGATACATATCTTTATTTTCCAAATAGTCTACAAGGAACAGATTTTGTTTTGGTGATAAGAAAAAATAAGTAAAAATATTTTCCATCTTCTGAATAAATCTATTATCTCAATAAATAAATCCTGGAGGGAAAAAGTTTCCAGAAGAGCCCCTAGGTTAGTACATCTCCAGGTCTGGATGTGCAGTATGATACATGGCCCTGAGTCTGATAGAATGGGTGAATGGGGCCTCCCCGGTGGCACAGCGGTTGAGCGCTGGGTTGCAAAGCTGCCCGCAGCCTCTGCAGCACCGGTTCGATCCCCGGCTGCTCCCTGGCCACTGGAGGAGGGTCCCACATGGCGCGCAGACCTCTCCTGCCGCCTGCTGCTCCCCTCAGCAGTGTCCTTCGGTCCTTCTGCCTGCTCTGCTCCCCGCTCTGGCTCTGGTGAATTCTCTCACCCTCCCGCGCTTCTGACTGTACCCAGTGCTTGTATAAATAAATAAATAAACATAAATAAATAAATCTTTAAAAAATATATTAAAAAAAAAAAAAGAATGGGTGAATGGGGGTTTCTGGGACTCTGCCTGGAGACAGTGAGACCCAGGTTCCATAACATTCCACACACAAGTGGACATGAATGGGGCCAGTCAGGCAGTGGACAATCCTCAAGTGTCAGACAGGTGGGGGTTCTGCCTCAATCAGATTTGGCAACTGAAACAGGACACAAGTAAGCAGTGCCACCTCCTGAGGAGTGGGGAGCAAAGGAGATTCATCCAAGGAAATGAAAAGGGTCACCTGCCTTCCCTCTCCTGGGTGTAGATCACATGTTATGTTCACATTTCAGCAAAATTCTTAAGCATTAACCCCATGTTTATTAATAAATGCCCACTATCAGACAAGTCACTTGTTTTTCAAGGCCTGAATAAATTGGATGAAAGAATCTTGAGAAATGTCATTGGTCTGGGGAAGGGTACATCATTGTTCTTACTCCTCATGAAGTTGGTTTGCATTTCACTTGCTTTCCTCTCTAAATTGCTTAGGGGTTCAAGGGGGGTCATCTGGGGAAAGACCATCACCAGTGTGGTTCTGGCACATGTTTGAATCAGGACAAAGGGCCCTGGACCTGCTGCAGCCATGAGAGTTGCCTGGTGTCTGTACATTCTGCATCTGGATCTGGGGGTCAGCTGAGCAGAACAAGACATGCCCCCTAGTATTGTTATTCTTCCACTTTGTCGAATTCTTCAACTATTCATCCTGGAGACTTCACCTTGAAAATGGAAATAACAAAGGAAATGTGTTTATGGGGTACTGACTCTCTTGTGAAGCTGTGTTTTCTAGATGGTGCTACACAATCTGTTTAAAGCTTGAGGCTGAACATATGGTCACTTTAGCATAATTTTTTTCATTTAATTTCAACACTAAATAAACACTTTTCTGTTCTCCTTCCCTTAGTATAGTCTCCCTCCTTCTTTCCCTCCCTCCCTCCATAAAAACCACTTGTTTATAGTCCCAGGACAAAATCCTAGGATGTGGGGCATAGCAGGACCTCTCCCAAGGCTGCTGTAAAATCTAGTGGTTCAAAGTGAAATCCCAGAGGATGGTTAGATTTAATAATAGGAATAGAAAACTCATTCTTTTCCTAAGTACTTTTCATTAATGGTGAATCTGAGCAGATGGCTAGAATCATATCTAAGAGATACAGGAACAAGAATTTGAGATTTTTGTTCCATAGCGTAGGTGCAGCACAGCTATAACCTGTAACATTTTTTAAGATGTATTGACTCTCTCTCTATTGTTCTGGACAAATGTCCTCATTGCCCCGAAACCACTGAAAATCGTATTATAAATCAATTAAATGACTTAAGACTTCTATCTTGCCTGAGAAAGATTTCATTATGTCGTGAAAAGAAAAGTGTGACTTTAAGAGATGAGATTGGTATGATCTCAGCAACATCAAAAAAAGCTATTCCTATGCACAGGATATACTCCAGAAAACGTGCTAAAATAAATCTTTGAGTGGCGAGGTCATAGGTGATTGCTATTTATTCCCTTTGATTTCCACAGTGAACATGGTTAGTTTTATTATCAGGCAGAAAACTTACAATTTAAGAAAGGAAAGTTGCTAAACAACAACTATTATGTGGCTCAAGGAATCAGCTTCTTGATTTTAATCTGCAATTGGGTCCCTTCAGATTCTTGCCTCACTTATCAGTTTGGCCAACAGATTGTTGAGCACATACAACTGCCTGGGATGTGTTTAAGAGAATATTTTTTTTTTTAGCTACAACAGAAAATTCCAAACTGTCAGGGGAGCAATGCTCATAAAAAGAAAGCTTTTGAAAAAGAAGTTTTTCTCCCCACCCTTGGTACATTCCACCCCATGACCAAGACCAATTTAATGACAGAACTCCTGTGTGAGGACATGTGTGGGGAAATTTCTACAACACAGGGTTGTATTGTACAGAGAGTCTGTGTCCCAGGGGCCCATGGCAGCTGTGTGCCCTCAGGTCAACATGAACAAATTCCCTGCAGAGAGAGAGCCCTGCCAGGAAGCTAAATGAAACCAACTCAACTTCGACAGCATGCTTAAAAGCCAGAGCTGCAAAGAGTCGAGAAGTTTGGGAATCTAAAAAAGATAATCCTATGAATTATTTTCTTGCTTTTAAGATTTGATTCTGGGCCTCCCCTGGTGACGCAGCGGTTGAGCGCTGGACTGTGAGGCTGCCTGCACCCTCTGCAGCACCGGTTCGTTCCCTGGCCTCCGGTGAGGGTCCCAAAAAAAAAAAAAAAAAAAAAAAAAAGATTTGATTCTGACTTAAAATTGTGTGTGTGGGGGGAACATGGAGGGGAAAGAAGGGGGTGGAAAAGGAAGTCTCCCATAACATTTACTTTTTCTTTCCCACCTCCTCTCTTTCTCATCATTAATTCAAGTCTTGCTCTTAACAAGAGTTCCCTCACCCTGTAGGTGATTTCCCTTAGCTGGTCTTTAAAAGTCAAGAAGAGAGAATTAGAAAATAAGTCAGGGATCGAAGTTGTGTGATATTGTTTGCTATGACCAAGAAATACAAAAGGTAATTCTGTTACTTTCAGAGATTTATAGGAAGATTTATAAGAGATTATGTCATCAGCACCCACATGGAAGAGTCTGGAAAGTATGAAGTTAAAAAAAAAAAAAAAGGAAAACTCCCTCAAAGCGTCATAGTCCTGTAATTTTCATACCTGACTAGTGAAGCTTAGTAACTTCTTAGGACTTAGTTTGGGTTCTGGGGTATCAGGCAGCATCAGAAATCATCTTGCTCAGACTTTGCAAACCAAGTACCTACAGGGGCCAGGAAAGTGACATAAACGAGTGAGAAAGACCAGGTATAGGTAACAAGGAATGGGGTGGGGGGAGGTGAAGCAAACCAGAAGTACATGCATTTTTCGAAAACACTGTAGTGAGCCAAAGAAAACACATCTATTAGCCAATGTTGTCATGCGGGCTGCTCATTTGTGACATACAGCTCCAAATAACTCCAAACTGATTTTGTAGATGAAGAAATAAAGACTCAGAGGGTAAAGTGACTCACTCTAGGATAGCAAGCGCTGGTGGAACCAGTACTGACAGTCTGGTAACTGGGCTCTTGTGCCCACTACTACCCCCAAGCCTGAACACTGGGTGTATTTGAATCACTGAAAAGAACACCTCCCTCCTGTTATGAAAACTGATACTGGGCATTTTAGGGAGTCCAGAGAATATTTTCCTGTAACTCCACATAGGTTGTGATTTACCCAACAGGTGATGCCAGCTGTAAAGGACACCACTATTTGGCCTCCGACATATGCTGACTTTCTTACTTTGACAGCATCTGAAGAGTTTCCCTCTGTTGGGTACAATTTCCCTCTGAGTACAATTTGGAAAATGACTACTCCTCATTCCAAGGCTTCAGGCAACAAAACTATGGTCTGTGTCCAAAACTAAGTAAGGTATTCTCAGCATTGGTGCAAGTTTTGCTGAAAGTTACCTTCAAATTTGTTGGAGGAACTAATTAGTAGTTGTAAATCACTTTGAAAATTAGGGATGAAAGGATCCATGGATCCACTAAATATTATTATAACTAATTAATACCTATAAATAAACTGTGGTTAGGAGTAATGGGCATTCTTCACAGGTTATCAACTGAAGAATCTTTCAAGCAAATACATTCAGTATCATCTATTTTACCGGAATTGTTTTCTTTGTAATTTGCTCATGAGTATTTTGGCCAATGCAAATAGTGTATTTTGTGCTTTTAAAAGAGTATCATTGATAATTGTTATACACCATGAGTTAATAACAATGGATATTACACATAATTTTCATTTTCAACTTCTCACTCCTAAGAAACTTTTTCAAATTTCCTCAAGCTTAGTCTCAAGGGGAATCTTGTCAGATTATATATATTTGCAACTTTCCTCCCTTGATTGGTCCTCTATTCAAAAGTTCAATCCCCTTCTGGTTTCCAACTAGGAGGGATTCTTGATACATAACTATCAAACACAATACTCAACAAATATTTAATGAATGAGTGAGTGATAGGCCACAGTTGACAGAATTGGGCTTGGGACACAGATGGCTTACACATTCTGAATTGGGAGACTTCATTAGCTCTGTAGGTAAATAGACAGCATGCCTTCTAATAACTGGACTCAACTGGAATCTCTGACTTCTGAGGCTTGCCTTGGAATTCCAGTCAATTTCTCAAGCCCATTGTGTAATTGGTAGTGATCTCACTGCTCACTCACTGGTGGTAATGGGTGAGAACTTCAGTTCATTGGCATGTGGGTCATGGGTAAGAAATTCAAAGTTATTGGGCCTGAGAACAGACCAAAGTAATTGCAGTGATTCCCTGGCACTCACTAACCACTTAAGTGCAGCTGTGAAACAAACATACTTTGGTTCAAATCCTAGCTACTAATAATAGCAAATTTTTAAGCAGTGATTGAATACATGATGCCTGGCACAGCACAAAGTACTTTCCATGTATTATCTCACTTAAACCAACAATTATTTTATGAGGGAGTTACTATAATTATGCCTATGTTTGTGTTGAGAAACTAGAGGCAGAGAAGTAAAATAATCAAACTACACTGGTAAGAAGCAGAGCTGGAATTTGGAGTGCCATTTGTGTGATTCTAGGGTCTAAGATCTTAATCCCTATCACATAGACATATAATACAGTCTTTCATCAAACATAACTTTGCCACTTATTACCTCTATAAACTTAAAGTAGCAGAGCTAAAATTTGGGGTCCCATTTGTGTGATGCTAGGGTCTGAGTTTTTTTTTTTAATTTTATTTTTATATTCCCCATACAATTGCAACCCCCTTATTTTGACCCCTATCTCTCCTTTCCTGCCCCCCCCAATAGTGTGTCTCTGGTTCATAGTTTTTTGTTGATTTTGATTTTTTCTTTCTTATAGTTATTCTTTTTCCTGGTCCCTTATTTAGGTTTTCTAGATTCCTGCTATGAGTGAGACCATCCAGTATTTTTCTTTTTCTTTCTGGCTTATTTTACTGAGCATGATCCCTTCCAGCTCTATCCATGTTGCTGCAAATTGCATGTGTTAATCTTTTTTGATTGCTGAGTAATATTCCATGGTGTTTATGTACCACATCTTCTTGATCCAGTCATCTATTTTTGGGCATTTGGGTTGTTTCCAAAGCTTAGCTATTGTAAATAGCGCTGCTATAAACATAGGGGTACAGGTGCCCTTTGCAATTAATGTTTCTGTGTCCTTTGGGTAAATACCTAGGAGTGGAATTGCTGGATCATATGGAAGCTCTAGGGTCTGAGATCTTAATCCCTATCATATAGACATATAATACAGTCTTTCATCAAACACAACTTTGCCACTATTACCTCTGTAAACTTAAATGAGTCCTTGGCCTCTCAGACTTCAAAATGAAGATAGTCATATCCACTTTATAGAGTATACTCCTGAATGCCAGTCTCTTCATTGTTCCTTTTATGACTTCAACAAGGTTCAAAGGAAACTGTTCTCCTCTCACAATACACATTATTGATGCCACTGGTTGGCAGAAGGGTGGGCACAGTATGAAGGATGCCCAGTCAGAATAGCCTACTAGGTAAGCATGTGATCCAAAGAGGTCCAATCAGAGTAATCTTTCTCCTTGGCCATGATTAACGAAGAGGTTAACACCTGACTCAAATTGGGAAATCAAATCCCTCTCTTGTATTTTTTTCACTTGGCACCAAAAAGAGTGAGCTTCAACCCCTAGTAGCAATAAACCAGAGATAGGATTTTGGCTATGTCTCCTTCAAATGGGGAAAACCTATCAGAGAAATGAAACCAACTCAAAGACTGACGCTGAGAGAATCAATAAAGAAAAGACAAAGGTTGAGACACCCCAAGTCCACAGCTCTTTTGCCATTTCTCCAGTATATTTATGGAATGAATGTATCATCATTTATACCTAAGTTTATATGAGCTAAGTTTTCTATTACTGGCACCAAAAAAAAAAAAAAAAAAAAAGGTGCTCCTGATACATTACATACATTCCACTGGGTCTATATATGTCTATGTGAGCATCCGTAGGGAAACCAGATTAAGATAGACCATAAGTGGGCTTAGCCGGAGGCCTGGGCAATTTTTCTCAGTACTGGGATTGGTGTCCCCTGCAGCTTATTGTAACAGTTAATCCTTATACATTGGTGTCATGGATATAGTCATTTATATGATCATTACATCACCCAAAACCTGATACCTGGCCTATTTCCTCCAGTGTAAACTTACTACTCATTACAGCTCTTTGGATTCTTGACCTACCAATAATTCTATTTTGCTACTAGTGCTAAATATCTAAGAAGAAATCAAATACATGAAATATGCTAAAAAAAAAAAAAAAGCAGGAAACAATAATTTTATTCAGGATTTCTTAAGACCACAAATATCAATGCCTTCTTAACTCTAAACTCTTTAAAGATGCTATGAGGATACCTTTCAATTTGTATTTCATTAGTACCTGGAACTTGAGCAAAAAGAATAGCGAATGTTTACAACTGCCGAGTAAAATTCAGAGGAATTTCTTTTCATCTCAATCACTTGGCATGTTATTTGTAGTAACTGTTCCCTGAGGGAAATAGGAAGCTTGAATTTGGGGTGTTTAAAATTTTCTAAATGGGAAATTAGTCCTAGAGAAGCTGGTCTGAAGTTGCAGAAGTAACATTAAGCACACAATCCATGCTATCATATCATGGTTATTAGTATAGTAAATGTTAATTACATGTACATGTACATACACAGATATATATTGCTTTCCAAGCTATCACTATATGAATTTAAGAACCAAATCAATATACATAAAATTTTGAACCTATCCTTCCTGTCCTAATTATTTTCCCTTTGTTCACCAGATCCCCTTTCTACCTTCCAGTGTCTACTCTGTACCTCAAGGAGCAGCCAGCTAGGACCTGTATCACCTGGGATGACTTTCCCTCTACATTTTAGTTGGATATGGTTAAAGGTCTCAATGGCGAGTTGGTTGGGTTCTTTATTTACTCCATCACTGTGGTGGACACCGTTGGTATTATGCCCAGACTCTGTTTCTGTAAGTCCATTTCCCAGCTTCTATATCTTTTACTTCTGGTCACTGACAGCTACAACTTTCTGCAGAAAAGTATCCACTTCATCAAGCAGAGGTAGAGAGCTGGGAGTGCCTGGGAGTGCATACCCACCTCACCCCACCCCACTCCCCCACTCCACAGAGATTAGCCAATGATTGATATGATAGGATGAGCCATTAGCTTCCATGCCTTGCGGTGGGACTAACCATGGAGTGTGACAAATCTGGGATATGACTTCACTTCAGAAAAACCTGTTGGGCAAGTTAGGGGTGGGATTTTGCTTGAATCTGCCTTCTTACAAAGCTCTCTCTCTTTATTTATCTTGGTCCTCTATTCTCCAATATGTGCCTCCAGAGTGTATTTTCTCAATAATTCATATTGAGAATAATCTCATATACAAATATACATATTTATATATTTGTATACAAACATGAATAAAGAACCTCAATGAATAAAGACCTCCACTGAAGCCATTCCCCTAGAACTGTTCACAACCTCAGCAGTGACAGCTTCTCTATAGCCACAGATCATGTGTTGTAGCTCCTCTTCTAGAACTCTTGCTTCACAGAGGACCTTTGAACACCATTCCTTCTCATCTCCTTTTGTCTTAGGATGTTAGCTGTTTCTCGTTGATACTAGTCCTTGAATTCTTGTTAGATTTCATAATCCTGCCCACAAATCTCAAAATTATGTTTTCCTTTATTCCTTTTTCATTTTATCCTTTGAGTTTACTATCTGATCTGTTCCTGATTGGAATCCTCTCTCTTTCCAACTCTGTTACCAGCTCAAAGTAAGAGTCAAATGGACTCAGATAACAAGGTATCCTTTACTATCCAAACTCTCTGTCAAGAACCTCTCCATCTGAACTCAGGGTCTGACACTTCACGAGTAGTAAGGATAATTACACACATACTCACATATATACATACAAACAAACATGCATTCACACCTATCACATTTACCTCACAATTATTTTGAAATGATGCTGAGGACACTGAAAAGTCACTTTGAAGAAAAGTGGTAGAAATGCCTTAACATGTTAAAGTAGATTTCTGAGTGTGTCCATGAATTATTAATTGCAATAGGAATTGCCTTCTCGATATTTACAAGTAGAACTAGACAAAATATATGAGCCAATGGATTGCAGACTTTGAACAGAAGACAAAGCAGGAAGGTAATTTCTGAGAAAAAGGAAACACATGATGTGAGGCTTTTCTATGATTACCCCACTTTCCAGACTGCAATGCAGAAAAAAGGGGAAACCCAAGCAGAGGACAGCAGCTCCATTGAGATGAGGACATGGAGATCAGGTTGCAGGAAGGCCAAGACAACAGAATCAATATAGTTGAGTACTGAAAATAAGGAAAATGCACAGACCACAGAAGGGCCCCTTTGCATATTTGGCTGAATACTGACCTGTACGTGTGTGGAGTGAAAGACACAAGGTTTGGGGGAGGTGGGAAACAAGAATGGAGTAAGCCAAACAATTCTTGGAGTTCACATAAGGCTTGGAAATGTTAATTTTCTTACCAAACAGAATTAGAAAGACCATATACTACACAAGAGACTAGACAGAGTCCTTGGAGGATATTGCCCTCTTGGTGAGGCCAAATTAGTCCTGAAATAGTCTTCTTTGAACACCACTTTGCAAAACTTAAGAAAGATCATTGAAAATCAAAGTATTTCCAAATAGCAGTATATGAGAATAAATTCCATAGTTATCTAAAAGAATGCAACAAAATCCTGTTCTTATATAAATTAAAAATAAAATGTTTGCGAGCTAATAAAAAAGTCACTAAGAATGAGACAAGAAGGAAAATATCACACATAAACTGGATAGCAATCAATACAAACAAATCTAGAAATGACAAAGGTTGAATTAGGAGAAAAGATCATAAAATAGTTGCTCAATATACCCCATTTGCTCACAAAAGAAAAGTTAAAACGAGTGGATCCAAGTGGAACTTCTAGAGATTAAAAAAGCATTTTTTTTTTAAATTATACTGCATGGATTTAACTGCAGACTAGAAACTACAAAATAAAAAAATAGGAAACACAAAGATCCAATAGCAGAAATAATACAAAATGAAGCATAGGGGTGGGGCAAAAGAGTCTCTTTCAAATCAACCGTGTCCTTCAATCTAGCTTTATGCTGCAGTGGCCGGTATGTGATAGAAGGAGTTCTACAAAGAGAGGAGAGAAAGAAAACAAAATATTTGAAGAAATAAAGATTGAAAACCACGAAAATTTAACAAAAATGCAAATCTATATATCTAAAAAGTCTCAACAAACGTCAAAAAGAATAAAAGAAAGGGAACCACATAAGTCATGTTATAGTGAATTTGATGAATATCAGAGATAGAGAACAGTCAGACAATACAAACAAAATAATACAAGTCGTCAGAATTATGCAGAAGAAAATGAAGTGACATCTTTAAAGCACTAGAAGAAAACAAAGCAATTAACCTAGAACTTTATACCCACTGAAAATATGTTTCAAAAAGACAAATTACATAATTTTCCATACAAAGAAAAGCCAGCAAACTCATACAAAAAATATTAAAGGAAGTTCTTCAGGGATAAAGAAAGTGATACCAGGTGGGAATTTGCCATGAGAAAAGAATAAAGAACATTGAGAAGGGAAGCTATGTAAATATAAAGGCCATTTTTCTCATTTTTTAGTTGTAGGATTTCTACCATATATAGAATTGAAATGAACGACATCGTGGACTAAGTGGAACATAGATAAGAAATTTTGTACCACATGTAAATTTGAAGATAGGCTTTGATATGCTAAGAATATAAAAGGTAAATCCTAGATCTATCACTAAAATAAATAAGCAACAATAATAACAACCAAAAAATCTAAAGAAGTTCGTTTAATAAATCAATAGTAAGTCTAAAATAGGATCATGAAAAGTGAAGTAAAATAAAGGAGCAAGTGAAGAAGAAAGACACAAAGACCATATGGGACAAATAGGGAAAAATACAATAGGGTCAATTTCATTCATTCATTTTGCCTAGAAGAACTGGGGTGTAGTGCAGGGGATGGGGGGGTGACACAAAGTGGGGAACCGAACACTGAAATACACTGCTAAGGGGACCATCAGGCAAAACAGGAGAGGTGTGTTGTGCCACATGTGGGTTAGCTCCCTGGCCAGGGAGTGAACTCAGGCCGTAGTGGTGATAGCACTGAGACTGGATTTGGAAAGGAACAGTAGATAAGTATAAAGAGGTCAATTCATCAAGATGTCATAACAGGGCCTCCCCTGGTGGCTCAGGTGGCTGAGCGCTAAGCTG